AACTGATTCCTTCTTCGAGATCTCAAATCTCGAAAATCAACGGAAAATAGGGTTACAGTACTTTAAAAAATATTTTAGCCTATTTAAAGCAAATACTAAAAATTTTCTTTAAGGCTATATGAAAGCCCATAAAATTTGCTACAAGATACAAAAGGGCTCATCTTTCTAAAAAATTTATCCGTTGCGGCATTCAAGCTTAAATAACTACCCAGCAAAAAATAGCCTAAAAATGCACTATTATCGTTATGCGGCTATTCTAGCGTGAGCATTTACACGGATAAATTTTTTAAAAAATTTTGACATTTTGTATATTATAGCAAATTTTATGGGCTTTCAGATATGCCTAAAGAAAATTTTTAATAAATGCTTAAAGGTCTTAAAATATTTTTTAAAGTACTGTAACCCTTATTTCCGTTGATTTTCGAGATTTGAGATCTCAATGAATAAAACAGTTTTCGATTTAGTTTTTTTTCTATTTTGCATCCATATTGATAGTTATGTTCATAGAAATTTTTGTTAAATTTTAGCTGCCTTCTTTCCATAATTATCGGTATTTTTTCAAACTGTCTGAGAATATTTGGAACGCTTGATTTTTTTTAAATTTATCATAACTTTTGATAAAATTATCGGTTTGCTAAACCGGAACCGGAACTTTTAAAAAAATTTTTGCTAGCAAATTTTTAAAAATTTGTAGTTTAAATAGGGTTGTCTGTTCACCAACTTCTTCGGTTAACCGAAACCGAACCGAACCGAGACTTTTGATTAACCAAAACTGAACCGAAAATTTGTCGGCGATAAGTGATATACCGTATTTATTCTAATAAAATGGCCCCTCCATTAGAATGGCCCCTCCAATAGAATGGCCCCTTTTTGGGGGTAATGAAAAATAGAATGGCCACCTCCATTAGAATGGCCCTCTAATAGAATGGCCCTTTTAACTAATAAGTATATGCCTGAATACATTTCTTTATTTTCCTATTATGTATTAAATATTACTCTTTAGTAAGGATAATCATAATATTTTCGAGCAAATCTGGAGTCATAAAAGGGAGATTAAGAGGGATATTAGGGGATTTGAGAGGATTAGGAGGGATATCAAGAAATTACAACGATTTAATGAAGATGCATGGGATTAAGAGAATTAATAGATATTTATGAATTTGACGATATAAGGAAGTTGGATATAAGGTTGTCGGATCCGGTTCTGATATTGGATCCGGATATCCGAAGATTTCCAACTATCCGACAACCTTAGTCGGATACATTTATTTTATCAGGGGACTTGCAGGGACATAGGATTTTGAGGAATAATGATGGATTGATTGAGATTTGGGATAAAATTCTGGATATTTCAGGACCCTTGAAGACATACGAAAATTTCGGAATTTTTGGTAGTTTAGAATTTGAATTACTAATCAATATCCCTCCAAATCTCTCCCAATTCCCATATATTACGTCCAAATTCCGAGATCCCACGAACTTTTATGAGCAAACTATACCGGAAATTTTGATTGTCTGGCACCAAAGTAAATAAAAAGTTGCCTATTTGCCCAGCAGGCAAAAGATTTTTATGTTTTATAGTGTTAAGAAAAGAAAGATTTACTAACCAAAGTCGAAAATATAGAATTTTACACGAAAAATCGATTAAATTTCGAAGTCAAAAAATATTCGATCGAACATTTGATTCATCCTATCTCTGATTTTTACCTTTGAAAAATAGAATGGCCACCTCCATTAGAATGGCCCCTCCAATAGAATGGCCCCTTTTTGGGGGTATCGAAAAATAGAGTGGCGGCCACTCTATTAGAATAAATACGGTATTTGGGTTAGAGAGTGGTGTATAACGGATTTGGTGGTATAAGTGTTTGATATCTGACGATATAAGGAATCAGAATTGTAATGGAGTCCACATCAAAATCCACATTAATCCATCCAAATAATCCGTTATACCATTCAACTTTCTTTTTCAGCGCCGCAGGCGAAAATTTTGAAAATTTAAGAAGGCTGTAAGCAAAAAAATCATACGAAATATTTTAAGAATTTTAGAGGGCCAAAAACCTTAATTACTCCATGTAAAAATAAAATAATTTTTAAAACAAAATTAAACTCATAAAATGATTTATTTATTGAAAGAAAAATTTGAATATTTATTGTCCTACGATTGGGAAGCGAACCCAACTTAAAATCATTAACACATTGAGTGAAGCTCAAACCCTTAACCACTCGGACACCCGCTCATAAGAAGGTAACTGAAAGAAAATAAACATATTTCTTTTGATTTTTTTTATTACAACTATGAGAGTACGAGTATTTTATTAATATTTTTTAAAAAAAAACTAATCCTTAAGGGTGTAAAAAAGTTCCGGTTTGGCCGGAACCAATTTGAAAACCGGAGCCGGAACCGGAACCGGATCCAATTTGAGTTCCGGTTCCCGGAACCGGAACCGGAACCAAAAAAACACCGGAACTTTCCGGAACCGGAACCGGAACCGGAACTTCCGGTGAAACTCTATTATTTTTGCTGCTGAATTAAGATATAGAAAGATTATAAAAAAGTAAAAACCCGTAAGTCGATTTTCCGAAAAATTTGGGGGTGTCGAGGTTTTTTGGAACGGACTTTAGTAATTCCTCTCCTTTAGCTATTCCTCTCCTTTGGGCTATAGTAATTCCTCTGCTTTAGCTTGTTCAAAAGGTTATGGGAGCGATCCAGCATCTTCAGTAGACCGGATTATTTGTTATCCATTACATAATCCCGCATACCGCACAGCCTCAAGAATTAAATAGCGATATGCTTTAAGTTTTAACACGTGTTATATAATTTTTAGCAAATGCTTTTTATTTTCAAAATTCATCTGAAAGTCCTCATTGTGACATATTTTTTGAGTTTTGAGTTTGATATAATCTACGGCGCACCAAGAAGAAATTTAGCGGATTGGCTCAAAACCGCTAATGTGGGGGGAAATACTCTTACTAAAATTTTCCACACAAATAAAAATAATTTATTTCCTTTTAGTTAAATTTACAATTAGTTAAAAAGCGAGCGAAATTGGAAGAAAAACATTTTTTATTTAACAATGAAAGTGAGAAAAAGCTGATAGGAAAGCTAGGAGTGAGTAAGGAGAGAAGTGAGAAGAAGCAGTCTTTAGTAGGAAATTGAAAATCATTTAAATAGAAAGGCGAAAAGAAAATACAATTTTAGATTGTTAAAGTAGATAAAAGGTCTGGGAAAAAGTTTATAGCAATGAGTAATTAAATTTAAATAAAAATAGTTTTATTTTTGCAATCGCGTTTTATGGACGCGACACTCCCGGGCCAACGAATGGTTGGACATTAAAAAATGGGAAAGGCAAGAGTGGAGTTGCGGGGGTTAAGATTGGTACCCATAATGATCGAATTGAGGGGGCTCGATTAGTAATTAGATTGTGGGAGACATTTGGAGGTGGTGGCGGAGTTAGTAAGGTTTGTATGTAGTCGGGGTTAATATAAATTTTATTAAGGGGAGTGGGTTTCGAAATTGTGTGTTTTTTGTGAATCTTTTTATTTCTTTTCCTCTTCCCCTTTCTTACTGAATTCTTCTTTATTGTTTGTTCGTGGATGGTGCCGTATTCGATGGTGCCAGTTTCCAATATGCGCCCTCGGGCGGCGATGTTGTAGCTTTGTGGGAGTTTGAAGGAAGCCAGTGACGGGAGTTTGAAGGAAGCCAGGGAAGGTGGTTTGAAGGAAGCCAGTGAAGGGAGTTTGAAGGACGCCAGTGACGGTGGTTTGAAGGACGCCCGTGACGGTGCTTGAACATGTGGGCGGATTGCAGTAGTTTCTGTTGATGGTGTTGCTGGGGATTCGGTTGTAGCAATTCCAATTGTTGGAGTAGGGTTGCATTCCATGTTTGTGTCGGTTGATGCTGGGTGTTGAGGCCTGTTAGCTTTTAACAAATTTTTGAATTTTTTATTATTAGGGGGTGGTTCAAAATATCGCTCGGAGCGCCGCGAGAGGTCCCGGTTTCGATCACCGGCTGAGCTTTAGCGGATTGGCTCAAAACCGCTAATGTGGGGGGAAATACTCTTACTAAAATTTTCCACACAAATAAAAATAATTTATTTCCTTTTAGTTAAATTTACAATTAGTTAAAAAGCGAGCGAAATTGGAAGAAAAACATTTTTTATTTAACAATGAAAGTGAGAAAAAGCTGATAGGAAAGCTAGGAGTGAGTAAGGAGAGAAGTGAGAAGAAGCAGTCTTTAGTAGGAAATTGAAAATCATTTAAATAGAAAGGCGAAAAGAAAATACAATTTTAGATTGTTAAAGTAGATAAAAGGTCTGGGAAAAAGTTTATAGCAATGAGTAATTAAATTTAAATAAAAATAGTTTTATTTTTGCAATCGCGTTTTATGGACGCGACAAAATAAGAAGGATAAGCAAAAGGAACACGGTAAAATTTTGACATATGAAATTGCATTTCTATTATTAATTGAGTAATTTTTTGAATTTTTAGTTCGGGTCATATAGTTTGAAATAGAAACCCTAGGATTGGAAAAAACGGCTGGATAGATTCAATAGTGTTAATTAATATTTTCCAAATAATTTTTAAGAGATTTCTAATGTAAAACTAAAAGTTTTTTCCGTCATCCTAGATATAAGAAATATTGACGATGAACATAATCCACATTTTGGACAAACACATGATTATGAAATGTTTCAATACCTTTTACATAATCCACCAGAAATTGGTGAGTAAAATTATTAACAAGAAATTTTCAAATGTAAATATAACTTATGTAAAGTTATTTGAAGTAAATTGGCACAAAAATAAAATAAGAATTTTCTATTTTTTGTTAATTTATCGAGAAAATGATTTTATTATAATTGGGGCCCTTATAATATTGAACACATGTATTAATGAATTTTTAATTTACAGAAGACGATGAGGCTTTAACATCTTCTCAGGTTTTTTAAAATTAATATCAAGCTTATTTACAAATTTAACCCCAAGAACTAATTTTAAAATCTTTTAGCAAGGAATTACTCATGAACCGCAAGGATCATCTTACCTGCCAACAAATCGTGAAATTTTTGATGATATACCGGAATGGGGCATCCCAACTACGCACGAATCTGGAAGTTCTGCAACACACGAAGGCATTGATTGTTTTTAGATTTTTTATTAGGATTATAGCTCGAACCCTTGGCCGGGCCCGGGCATATTTTAAAATCATAGACTTGTATTTAAAATCAAGTCTATGATTTTTTGGCAGTTTTTCGTAGACTTGATTTTAAAATATACTATTTAATTATTAATTTTAAGTTGACACCAATGACATTATGCAAAAGTATTGGAGTGGTTTGCATCAAGGAAATGAACTTTTACCTAATTTTCATCATGAGCGTAATAACATTTTTTCTAAACTCCTTTTAATTCATTTATATACATGTTTTTCACAATATTTAATTTCTTTGGCAGTTTTTCGTTAATATAATATTTTTCTAAGACATGAGCAATCCTCATTTTGAACAACTAGAAAATCACGAAGAAGTCCAACAAGCTTCTCACAATCCACCGGAAACAATACAGATAATAAACAAAAAAGGTGAGTTTTTTGAATCTAAATGTGGGCTTGAATCTAAAAATTATAAGCATTAATTAATCTAAATAATTGTAAAATATCATTAAATCTTTTGTGGTTAGCATAAGTAATATTGAAAATATTAAAATATTTCCCGCTTAGGCGGGAGTTAAAAGATCTAAAAAGCACCTTGCAATAACTACGAGGAGCTCGCAGGAATCTTGCCCGGTGACTAAACTTTTGCTTATCTATTTCTATAATATTTGACTTTAATCATTCTAAGATATGAGTAATCCACTTGCACAACAAAAAAACACCGAAATATTACATAATCTTGTAAATAATCAACAAGAAATTGATCATGAAAATTCAGGATCAGGTTCCGTTCGATGTAAGCTTTTAAAATCTAAATGCCAAATAACCTATTTGTATATTTGTGTCACTAAATCAGTGTAAGCGTCAGTCTTGTATTCTGTTAAGTTTAGTTATGCCAAATAAATATAGAATTTCATAAGATTTTTTAAGGTTTAACAGATTAAAAATTCAAAAAAATTATTTATTATCCTGTTGATAATCCTCTAAAGATTCTATTTGGTAAAAATTTTATTATTTAGTTAAATCAGACGTCTGGCAAAACTTTACCATCTTTAATAAGAAAAATGGAGAGCAATATGTTCGATGTGGAATTTGTAAAAAGGAATTTAAATTTCCTAAGGAAACAACTTCGTCAACGTTCAAGAAACATCTTAAAACTCACATAAAATTTATGAATAAAATAAAGGTTAATCATGTTAATTCCTCCTTTTCTAAATGAAATTTTCAATGAATCTAAATTTTTTATACCGAATAGAAATTGATGAGATAAAGGAATTATAAAGTACCCCCACCCTAACCACTAATCTACGACAAATTTACAACTGAGCTGTTTCTAAATTTCATTTCAATCCTATTTTCATGGATTTTTTGTTTCGAAACACCCTGAGTTTATATTGTACCCTGAATTACACGACAAGCGAGTTTCTAGAATTATTTATTATGTAAACTCCAGTAGGCTTTAGAATATCTAAACACAGTAGCATAGTTCCATTATTTCGTTGCCCGGTTCTCGATGAATTATAACATTTAATTATTCATAGATTCAAGCAATATTGAATCTTATAAAGTTTCACATACCGAACAAACACAAAATTATGAAATACTTCAACAATTGTTGCCACCTGGATTTGCTCCGAATAATTTGGAGATGACAAATAAATGTGAGTTTTTGGATCTAAAATCGGGCATGACTCTTTATAACTGGGTTTGCTCTGAATTTTAAAAGTTCGCAATTCTGGGAAAAAATTCTCATTTTTCGCAAAAAATTCACAAGGAATTACCAAACACAAATATTGAAGTAAAATACAAGACAATTTAATTGAGCAATTTTTTTACTAATGATCATTTTATAAACATCCGAATAGAATTTACGTCAAATTCTAAAGAATACAAGTCCTCATGCTCTTCCTCATAATCTTCAAAAGACCAAAAAATCCGCAAATGTACATTTTTAAAATAATCCACACCTTTCTACATATTTAAAAACCACAAAATGAGGAAGTAAAGAATGTCCTAAGTTTTGTAAGGTTTAATAGAGTAAAAATCAGTAAAAATTTACTTATCATAAATCTTTTCCAATCTTCTAAAAATTTTGTTTTGTAATGCATAATTTTATTATTTAGTTAAATCAGAAGTCTGGGAATATTTTGAGATTTTTAATAAAGATAATGGAAAGCGATATGTTCGATGTGGAATTTGTAGCCGTGAATTTAAATTTCCTAAGGAAAGATCTTCGTCACATTTCAAGAATCATCTTGATGGTCACAAAAAGGAATATGAAGAATATCTGAAGCACAATCGTGAATAGTTACTTTGAAAATATTAGTATCATACTAAGCTATAAGAGATTTGTAAAGAAATTTTTAAAAATTTATATCAAATTGATATTGATGATATATTGATAATTTTTGCAGTAAACGTTATTAAATTATAGTTAGGAAGGGGATTCATATCGACTATCAATCGAAAAATAGGTGGATAGTCCAATTATAGGCAATATTTTTGGCTTTTTCGACACTAATTTACCGAGATGTCATATGGGCTTCGCATTCTGCCGCTTCTGCCTTCTGCTTTTTAAAATTCAAAATTCTCCAGCCCTGTTCCATCCTAAGCTTTAAGAGATTTATGAAGAATTTTTTTAAAAATTTATATCAAATTGATATTGATGATATGATAATTTTTGCAGTAAACCTTATTAAATTTTAGGTAGGAAGGGGATTCATATCGACTATCAATCGAAAACTAGGTGGATAGTCCAAGTCTAGGCAATACTTTTGGGACTTTTTTCGACTCCACTTTACCATATGTCATATGGGCGGACAGCTCTGGTCAACACTAACCCTGTATTCCGACACCCAAATGAAACTATTATTTATCGGGATAGCGATAATGCTGCATTGTTATTGATAATAGAAATTCGCTGTAAAAATTATCAATTTAAGACTTTAAAAGTATTTCCGTAAAATATATCGTTAGTTAACTAAAATATTTTTTGATTTGTTGATTTTTTTCCTGTTGATTTTTTCCTTTATTATTTAAAGAATTCTAGATAAACGATCATTTTTTATTTATGTTTTCACATTTCTAAACTTTTAAATTATTCAATCGAGATCGGATCAAAAATTGATAGTAAACGTTATCAATAGAGGAAGTGATCAAATGATCTACAGTGATCGTTGTGATAGAGACCAGTTCTACATATATTACTAAGCTACATGTTGTTTGGGAATGCAATTTTGTGGTATCTTACTAATAATATTATACTATTTGATTTGAGGGATTTTATGTGCAAAAAAGCATAGTTTAATCTTTATGCGTACAAAGCTCAGCAACGTGATCCCGCGAAACGCGGGAGGACAATCTTCCGTTTGTTACACAAATATAGAATTCGGCACTCAAAATTCAGAAAAATCTTTGAGCCCAATTTTTCAGAGTCCTAATTTTGGCACTCTCAAATATATATTTTTAATATAGTTTCAACTTTTATTAACTTAATTTTAAAATTATTTTTTATAATTTTAAATTTTATTATTATTGACTTCATACTAATTGTACTTTTAAGTTTTGCCCTATCGATTCTCAAAAATTTTAAATGCCTCTCAATTAACTGTACGCGCGCGAGAGGCAATACTCACTCGCTAAGATGCTTTAGCTAAGCGGCATTGCTTATTTACTATTAAATAAAATTAAATTCAATTTTTATTTTATTAAATCATTGTAAAAATAAAAAATTAAATATGTATGTATACCCTTCTGTACGTATACCCAGCTAAATCCCGATACCGCTGAACTCTAATACCCATGTATCACACCATTTCTGGTTGAATCTGGTTGAAAATTATTTTGAAAACATAAATTTCTATGTATGTACTTCCAAATTAAACTTTTTGTACATAATTAAACCTTACATTTTATTTTGGATCATCCAGAAATTTATTTTTAAATTTAAAACAAATATTTTTAATCAAACTGCTCTCTTTTTAGATTTAATTTTAATTTAATTCTATTTTATGAATTCAAAGAAATGACTTTTATTTTCAAAATTCGATTCAATCTTCTTAAAAGCATCATAGTAATATATTTTTTGACATTTGAGCTTGATAGTGTTTGCGCAACAGGAAGAACTAAAAAGAATAAGCGTCAAAATGATGGTAAAACTTTAGTTTTAAGAAAGTAATCTTGGGATGGAACTTAAATTTCGAAAGGGCTGAAGTCACCTAACCGAGACGGGATTTCGATACCGGCCTTGAATGCCATGAAATCTTGACCTGTCCAAATGTCCAATCTATAAAATTCTTTGTAACATAAGATCCAATCGGAAGTATTAACTAAAAGAAGTAATTAATAGAGAGAGATTAGGGAGAGAACTTAATTAGAAAGAGAGAGAGAGAGAAGGTCTATTGATTAGAGACAGAGAGAAGGTCTCTCTCTATTAATTAGAGAAAGACATTGCTATAAATATTTTTTTGGCCGATATTATTCAGGGTTAAAATGGATTAAAGGCAGGATGAGGTATTTAAATAGAGTTTAAGAAAAAGTAAAATGCGCTTGAAGAGAAAATAAGGGTGCGGTGTCTTGTTAATTTTCCATATTAATGCTCCAGTCTTCAATCTATAAATTTTTATCAACTAAAGTAATAACTTTAATTTTTAGGCTTAAACAAGACTACATCATTAACCGAGGTTTATTAAACTCCTTTTGTATTTATTTTTGGGTTATATAAACTAGGGTTTATACTTTTGATAAATATTTACAAAAACAGGAACTAATGAAAATGAGTGATCTTTTACCCCCCCCCCCCGCAAAATAATTTTTTTTTATTTGACTAAAACTCAAAAACGAAAATCGTTTGAATGAATTGTTACCTCTATTAATTACATAATATCACATAGAAATCAGCCCTCATAATACTATACATATAATTCGAGAAACTCGAAAATTTATGGTGGACAATATCAAAACTAGTAGAATATAATTTAAAAAATTTTAGCATCATGACTCGCAAGGATTATATAACTTCCAAACACCTAATGAAACTTATGATCAAATATTGGAATGGGATGATAAACGGTTTAAATTATGTAT